TACCCATTCAAGCCGTCTCCAGCCATTATTACACTAACAAAATGTTTTGGGCAAATTCTGAGTTGCAATGGCCTGATGAAAATCTATGGTAGCAGCTAAAAATGTCATCCAAAAACTTCCTACACAGATGCAGTCCATTTACAGTGTTTCTCAAGTCCTTATTCCTTGTCTGAAGAAACAGCTCAGAAGTATGCAACATTTCACTGACAAAAACTATAGTGGCTATAAAAAACAATAATGAAAATTTACTGAGTGTTTTTAAATCTGTTGGAAGAATTAAACAGACATGAGAGGAAAAGTAAAATGATGGTTGGATCCCTAACATATTTTTATTAATAGTCACTACAGGGATTTAATCAACCACACCTAACCAGTGGATAGGGTAGACTTATAGTTCAGGCCCAATTCATAAAAGATGAGATTGGAAATGTACAGACCTGCCAACATTAAATTTTGAAAAATAGTAATCCCTACTGAAACAAGGTAAAAATAAAAAATAAAAATGTAAATGGTGTTACTAATGATTAAGAGCCCTTTAAATGGGACTTTTGGCTTTCTTTAGGAAACCATTTAAAATTCTTGGGAGAAATGTGGTTTTTGTACCATCTCCATCTTCCTTATCAGCACTGATTCTAAAGTGGAGTTTGACATTGATCCTCACAAGTCTTTCCTGATTTTGTGAAGAAGCAAGAAAACCCTCTCACAACGTGCATTGCAAGGAATGATTTTATTACTACGAAGAGTCTATCATATCTAAAGTTGCCCAATTCATCTTCCAATAGTATACCAACACGTGTCTACTGGCTCACCGAGACTTACACCAGTCAATGGATAGGTGAGAATTTCATTCAGACCATTCATTGCAAGGGATGCACCGTGGGCCAGTACAATGAATTGTCTTCAGAAGCAGAGTACTCTACTGATTCCAAAGAACAACTTTTTCTTACAGATATGTCTGCTACTTCTGAAAGTTGTATCCTGAAGTGAGAAATTTGTTTTCATATGTTCCAATGCAGTTTCATAATAATTTCTTCATAGAAAGAAAGCTGGCTTCCATTGTCAAGCATGGCAAGGAAAAGCTCAACTTCATAACCAATTACCAAGTTCTCATATTTTAACTGAAGTTTTCTGTCTTTGAAAATCAATTCCAAAATATTCGAACAGTTTGAAATTGCATGTGGTGTCACAAGTCTGCTTAATGAACCCTTGAATAAAGCAAACACGATTCTCTGCACCCAACGGATGAGAGGATCCTCAGACAGTACTTTCAAATTATACTTGTTGAGGATTTGAATACAATGTTCTTCTTTTCTTTACCCTAACACAGTTAAAATTTTTCTTACACTGAAAATGTATTTCCAATAGGTACTTACTCACACAAGGCCATCTCAATCTTCTTCTGCCCTCTAAGCACTGCTAAAATACATTAGACATCAACACATCAGTCTACTACTCTCCATCAAGCATATTGTGCCACCCACATGGGCACAGCTAGCTCACTCTGCTATTCCCATTCAATATGCACTTTTGAGAATTGGCAGGTAATGGAATAAAAACGATGATTTTAGTGGGGAAGAAGGGTGGGAAGTGTGTGAGAAGAGGAAAGTACCTATCGGAAATACATTTTCAGTGCAAGAAAAATGTTAACTAGAATCCTCCATTGCAAAGGTGGAAGGGCTGGTGTAGACACACAACATTGAATCTAAGCCGAAAGTGACCACCCACAATGAATGGGTGTGCTCAGAGATGAAACCGAAGCATTATTGTTGGGTACTGCACTACTTCTGGACCAGGATGCTCTTCATCCTTGAAGTAGGAAATTAATCTGATACAGATGGAAAAAATTATGTGCATAAGTGCAATTTGTCTGAGAGGTGCAATCCAAAGTGAAATATAAACAGAATTAGTTATGTACATTCACAACCTGAACTGGACAGATACATAAATATTTAACTTACCAAAGACCGAGTACTGATGACGTGAAATGCTTAATTCTCCCCTGTGTAAATAAGAATAAAGCCATGCAAAGGTCAACTGAGCCACGCTTAATACAGGTATATTATCCAGGTGTGAAGTGTTGAAAATTTACCACAGATTCCCTGAGAGAACTGCAAGCAACAGGAAAAATGAACAACTCTCCACCAAAGTGAATTAAATAGCAGCACAGCAACTGGTGGAAGGTATAAACTCCTGAAGTGATGTAGACTGAAACCAAATTGTCTTCTTATCGATTGTATTCATCTTCAGAAATACTGTCACATTGAAAAGAAGAAGAAATCCCCGGGCCAAACATATGAAATCTAGCTCCCTGTGAATTAAGGCCTGTACCTCCTCTGCAGATAAAATCAAACCTGATTCCTGGGAAGTCATACCAGTAGCATTTTGGACTGCAATATTAATTATCATAGTTGATAAGCTAATCTCAAATTTATACTAAGATATCTTATAATTTGGTAACAAGAAATGCAAACACAGTAAAATAAAACTGTGGAAAAAAAAATCAAATGGCAAAGAAGCATGTTCATAAACAGTAGCCACACACATCTAAACAATGTAGTGGCAATTGAGAAAGTGAAGATTGAGCAGGAATGGAAAAGGGAGCCAGCTGCACCAATATAGGTGGTGCAATACTATTGGTGGAGAGTAGTCACATGATACATACATGTTCAGAAATTACATGAAATTAATGGGGTATATAGACTGGTGCACTGATTGCAAAATTTTTTAAGCAACGCTTAGAGGGTGGAAGAAGATCGAGATAGCCTTGTGTGAACGGATGTAAGATCGTATTGGAAATACCTTTTTTTTTCCCCCTTTCTAGAATGACTGCTAATGACAAAGCTAATACAATTCAAATCTACAGATCATTGTTTTATTGTTTTAGTGCAAGGTAAATTAGTTCCAAAGAGAATTATCAGAGCAGAGAAGCTTTGAGTATAAAATTTAGTACTTAGTGTGGGTCTGTATTTTTTTTTGCTCACAAAACCTCGATGAAAGTTAACCCTACTTTTTGTGTTGTTAATATTTTAACCCTTCTACCCAGAGTACCCCTTTAAATAAATATTCTGTGCAAGTCACAGAGTTTCATTCAAAATGTAATTAAACACTTTTACTATCAATGTATGTGAATGAAATTAACATTAAAATGTATGTTATGATTCAAAGTTATGTTATTCAAGTTTTATTTCCTTTATTTCCAAAGAAATCTTTAAAAAAAAACACTTAAAATTTTGGGTTTTGTTGTCACACAGAAAAAATCTCAACTTTCGCACCCTCAATCTTGCTTATAATAATGCCAGTCGTGTAGATGTACATCTAGACAATAAGTATGTTTACTTGGCCTATTGACACGTAAATTTCAATGTTCTCTATTGAAACAAGTAATAAATTTTATCAACCTTTGATGGGTGCCTTAGCCACCTTCTATACTTTTGCTTGAGATTTATAACATACATGTGGTTGCTACATATACGTGTATCTAGTCATTAAAAAGAACTCATTTTACACTATAATCCAATAACGGTTATTTTGAAATTGGCATACAGTTTTTCGTCATCTGGTAAATGTAACTGCCAGTAGTATTGTAGGTTGCTTTATCCATAATAGCACTTACAGTTTTTTCTAAGCTAAATATATTACAGTTAGAGAGAAAATTTAGTTGTATATAGGTCTTACTTTTATATTTTAGTTAAATATGTATTATTTATATTTTAAAATGCATAATTCAAAGGTTTAAAAATTTTTTAAATATACATCATGCTTTGTTCTCAAGACTTAAGATCTTGTGTGAGAATAAGGTAATTTTGCCATAGGCTTGTGCATCTCTGCTGAAGATGCTGTAATTATGTCCCAAGGGCACCATTGACTTGTGCCGAGATGAGAAATAAAAGGTAAAGGACAGGAAAGGAAAATAAAACATTAAAAATTAAATATATGTGAAAAGAAAAAGACCAGAAATCAGGAATATAAATAATCCAATATCAAATCTCAAAAAGAATTACTGACAGTTTAGAAAAATAGGTGGTAATATGAGGGGCGTGGCATGTATGTTTCAGTTTATGGCATATAACTCATTCAAGCAAGAAAAATAGAGCTAAATTTTCATATTAACTGGGGGATACTTAACATATAAGTGTGCGAGTCCTTAGAAAATAATAGAGGGACGGGAAAAAATTCTAAAATGAACAATGTGATATATAGAAGTGAAGATTAAAAAATTTATTTCAATATTTCCTTTTGAAATTAAAACTTTCATAATATTAAAATTTGAGTCATAAACTACATTTTGATGCCAAATTTACTGACATATAATGATAATAAAATAGTTTAAATTTGGTCACACTGTGAAAAGGCTGTTATGTGCACTTTGACGTATCCATATACATAGGCTTTCTGGATAAGAAAGATTTAAATTTACTCGAAGTTAGTCCTTTTACCACAGAGCAATCATTAGACAATTATAAAGATTTAACAGCCAAAGAAAAAAAGAAAGTGGCTCCTAATAAACAAATGTTTAACACAACATAAGTTTTCAAATGAAATATCCTATTTTGATCTAATTTTTATCAACCAAAAAAGTATGCATGAAGTAAAAGAGATTACTCTTTATTAAAAAAGCTGATTGTTTTATCTTAAACCCTCGTAATTGCCACAAGTGCTTTCAATGTAAAAGAATTATAATATGGGCCTTATCCTGTCAAGGCTAATTTCTTTCAAATTTTGTTTGAAGCATGCAGGCAACATGCTGGATTAGTAAAAGTTGAACATAATATGTAAAAAGTTAAAAGAAAAACAGGAATCTAAAACAAAACACACCAAAAATCAGAAAATATTTTATGAATGAAAAACACTAAGTATATTTTTACCTTTTCTTGAAATTATACAGATTTTAAGGTAAAATTTAAGCCATAAATTTGCATCTCATAAAACAATCTGAACCACACATATGATACCAATTACTGATTTTTTTCATGACATTCTAATTTGAAATATAAAAATACAGAAACATAAAATTCATGTAAACTCACTACTTTACGCATTGCCTTGACATTCCTAGCAAGCTCTTCATGAAATGCATTAACTTTTAGAAAATAAAATGTATTACCTTCAGCTGATTCATGAAAGCAGCTTCCTCTTCTAGAGCTTTTTTAATAGCCTCTGGTTTCAAACCATTCATTTCCTGAGTTCCTGTTCCGCCTACTGTTCCAAAAGCATTACTTGTTGAGGACAGAGCAGACACAGCATTCTTCAAGTTATTAGTGCCTCTTTAGATTCAAACACCAAAAATAAAACAAAATATTAATGATATAAAACACAACAATAAACAAACAATGCATAACAGTATCTTATATTTAGATGCTTTGTAATGTTATATATTAGGGTGTAAAATTCAGTTCTCAAATGTAGATTCCATTTGGGTATGTAATTTGCACTGTTTGTTACTGAAAAAAACTTGCATTTCTGTTGTTGTAGGTTTACCAAAACCCACATATATGAACGTTCCACAGTTACTGTAGCTTTGGAATATGATTTATGGATAAAATGAGCATAAATAACTCGGATGGTAAAATCTAACCCTACAGCATCTGTAAAAATTTCATAATATTTAAGGTCTAATTGTTACTTTCAATTTGTATCGTGTTCCGATTCATTATATAAGTAGACTAATCATGTTTGTGTTGTAAAAATAGGTGTCATAAGCTACACTAACAAATAATATTAAAATAAAAAACATATATAAAATCAGACACGCACACCTTTACCTATCAAACAAAAAAATTGATTAGCAAAATCATGCAGTTAAGCAATGCAAATTGATGAAGAATAAAAGAAAACATTACACGATATATTAGGATGACAGGATAAGAGTAACACAACAATATGAGCATTTGTGGTCAATCAGCACTGAAAATTAGTGTTAATATGTGTGAACTAACACTCATTTTCAGTATTGGTTGATCCACAATAATGTCCTGTTGATTAATACGAACATTAATATTGTTGTCCTGTCATCTTCATTTATTGTGTTTTATTTTGTTCTCTATCATTTTACAATTGGTAACTGCCTGATGCAGTGAGCCTATGGCCAAAAAGTTCTTAATCAATTCAGTTATTTTGTTTAAATGCATGCAAGAAAATCCTCAGAAGAGTGCCTAAAAAATTTATAACAATTAATAATTATAATTAATTTTAATCAGGGCAAGTCATTTACTTAGAGCAAAACTAATCAGAATGCATTATTTCATTAGTTTTGGTACCTCACGACATTTTTGGTCATAGTAGCCAAGAATATACATGGAGTATTGTACGTAATTTGCTTTTTATACACATTTTTTTCCCATCACTCAACCACTGTTTTTCTTAATGTCTTTTGACCAGGCCAACCATTTATTATTTCTGCTGGATTACAGCACTCCCACATTTTGTCAAACTTATTGATTACTTTAAAGAAAAACTCAAAATTATCTAAAAACTGACATTTGTAACTGTTAATATAACATCTTCAAAATACATACACATTTATCATACTCATTTTATTTTCAGGGCCTTCAACTTGTACATTTGTAAAAGTTACTCTATTTCATTACAATTTATGACATGCTTTACATAACGTACACATTTTTTGTGTTCTGTGACTGATAAAGGCATGCTAATCAATATGATCCAGTACTTAGATTTGAGAAAACTATGAAACAGTGATACATTACTCTGTCAGGCAGATATTTCTTGTAAACACCCAAGTGTGTTAATGGTTTCACAGTAAACAGTACGAAAATCAGACAATGAAAATTCATACTAATCACAATCATTATATCCATGCTTAATATTGTTTTGCTTTGGAAATTAACTGCTTAATGCTTAAATTACATTTCTTGGATGCAAAAGGCACAATTTTAAAACTCTATTGCTCTGGCATCACCCACAACAAAATAATTATGCAAACAAATATCTTAAATAAATAAAAATTTAATTAAGTACTAACAACAACCATGCCAAAAATTAGGGTTAATTTTTATAGAGATTTCAACTGCAAAATACTACAAGACAAACAAGTAACTACTAAATTTCTTGTTTTTTTATGCACATTTGTTATTGTTTCAGAATTAAGCAGAACATACAAATTTAAAACCTGTTAGGTTAAGTAATAAAACTAATATGAAACTAACTTAAGTAAAAACAGTTCTCTGGAAGCGAGTTGCTAATGCATTAGGCAATTTCATACTTTGTTTACTGTAACTAGAGCTACACTCTCACTGTGTGCTTTTAGCTTTGTTTCTCTTAACATATTCAGAAGAAAAAAAGGCACAAGATAATCAGTTCTATAACAGTGATATCTTTTTTTTAGTTTTACCCAACATTCCTTCCAAAACAAGTTTTACACGTACGTAAAAAAACAACACAGCCAACTTAAGAGAGTAAATGTACTAATTACAGGCACAGTTTTACAACTTTTAGAAAAACACAGCCAACTTAAGAGTAAATGTACTAATTACAGGCACAGTTTTACAACTTTTAGAAAAAACACAGCCAACTTAAGAGTAAATGTACTAATTACAGGCACAGTTTTACAGCTTTTAGAAAAAACACAGCCAACTTAAGAGAGTAAATGTACTAATTACAGGCACAGTTTTACAGCTTTTAGAAAAAACACAGCCAACTTAAGAGTAAATGTACTAAATACAGGCACAGTTTTACAACTTTTAGAAAAAACACAGCCAACTTAAGAGAGTAAATGTACTAATTACAGGCACAGTTTTACAACTTTTAGAAAAAACACAGCCAACTTAAGAGTAAATGTACTAATTACAGGCACAGTTTTACAACTTTTAGAAAAAACACAGCCAACTTAAGAGTAAATGTACTAATTACAGGCACAGTTTTACAACTTTTAGAAAAAACACAGCCAACTTAAGAGTAAATGTACTAATTACAGGCACAGTTTTACAACATTATTGCTCTGGCATCAACCATAACAAAATTAATATGTAAATGTTGTACAATGTTAGTTTAATTAAACCAGTTCCTAAGGTAGTACTTAGGAGTCAAACCATTAGACATACCAACACTCATTTTTTTTTTTTTAATTGTTCAGATTCGCAAATATCAAACGAGACATTCAGCCCAAAATAATAATCCTAATTGTGTGCCTCATATTACAAAGCTAAGACAAATCAAATTTTGTTATGTTACACATTGCAGGTCTAAATGACATTCAAAAGTAAATATTACAAAGTACAAGTTTACAGGAAATGATCCAATAATAAAGCAAATAAAGACGTAACTAGTATAATAAGTCAGTTTTAACAGTACAGAAGTAGTGATTTCTACCTTGCTGTTGTTGCAGAAACTGAAGGAGCACCTTTCTTCCCTTCCAGTGCTGCTAAATGTTGTTCCAAAGCTTCAAGTAAACTACCAGGAGCCTACAAGATTGAAATAATTATTACATTAACTAAACGACCATTTCAAGTCAACCAGGTAATCAGCTAATACACTTGAAAGACCATGCTAAATGTTGTTCCAAAGCTTCAAGTAAACTACCAGGAGCCTACAAGATTGAAATAATTATTACATTAACTAAACAACCATTTCAAGTCAACCAGGTAATCAGCTAATACACTTGAAAGACCAGTAATATTTTCATTAAAGTAAACGAAATAAAAACAAAAAATATTGAATTTTCGTTGACGAAAACCCTTTTGGAAATGATAAAAAAAAAGGTACAGCTTAAATGAAACAAAATATTTCTTCAAAACGACCAGGAACAAAAATTAAAAATCTCAAAACGGCAACAGTAGTTGGTAAGAATTTGTTCACTTAGAAAGGTTTCAACTTTCAACTAATTTTCTCTCAAAGGCAAATATTTTAAATTTTCTTATGGTATTGGAAAGAGCAATAAGGGTCAGTCTGTGAATGTTACTGAGTTTACTAGACATAACTGTCAGCACGTAGTAAGCCTTTCTGTAAGCTGTATATCGTAAGTTTAAATGTATATTTCTTCTGTCTGGTCACTAGTCACTGTAATCAGTGTTGTGGTTATGGTCTGGACTCTGGAATATAGCTAACTGGTACACTTGTAAGTTTTCATTTTTTGAAAGAAAGGGACTAATGACTAAAATTATATTTTTATTACTTTTCAATTAATTCATATATTGTAAAGATTAAAAGAATTATTCTATAAACAATTGATTTTGATTTAAAACTCAAAATAAATTGAAGCTAAAATTAACATCAAATACTCAAAACTAAAATTGTAACTATTATTAAATTAGCAGAACAAAATTAAAACTAAAAGTGTAACATCAAAACTAAAAATATTACTAACAAGGAAAATAGAATAAAAACTAAACACTAAAACTAAACTAAAATATCACTGTCATGTACCAAACAACAGCAATTCCTAAAAATTAAAACCCTTCAGGAACTACATGTTTGTGGTTTCTAAATAATAAAACATTTATCGTATTTTTCAACATCTTAAGGGGGGGGGGGTATAAAACATTTAGTTCTATAACAATGGTAGCTTTTTAATTTTATCCAACATTCCTTCCTACCAAAACAAGTTTCACACATACATAAATAAAACAGTCAACTTCAGAGGATAAATGTACCACTTACCTTCACAGACATGTTTTAATAGCACTTATTTACTGTTCTTATTTTTTTCCATGTTTCATTTTCACCAACTACCTTCCCACAAAAAGATGGATTACAAGTAAACATCCCAGAATGGTTACAAAACAACTATAAATCCCAAATTATCAAATCAATCTCTTGTAAACAATATAAAATAATCATGGCTTTGGAGCATAGTTACATCAGTAGACTCAAGAAACTTAAGAAATGAAAGTTAACTGGAAAGAAAAAGAAAGGAGAATTATAAATTTTTACACCCACAATTAAGGTGATTGTGTTTTAATGACTGTGGTTACTACTTACCATTCGAACAGACAAGGTTTACTACTTACCATTCGAACAGACTTTTAATGACTGTGGTTACTACTTACCATTCGAACAGACAAGGTGATTGTGTTTTAATGACTGTGGTTACTACTCACCATTTGAACAGACAAGGTGATTGTGTTTTAATGACTGTGGTTACTACTCACCATTTGAACAGACAAGGTGATTGTGCCAGTCATTAAAACATAATTACCTTGTCAGTTCAAATGGTAAGTAGTAGCCACAGTCATTAAAACACAATCACCTTGTCAGTTCAAATGGTAAGTAGTAACCAGTCAAACACAATTACCTTGTCAGTTCAAATGGTAAGTAGTAACCACAGTCATTAAAATTTCTATTTATAAGAGACATTCCCAACATGTTCATAAAATGCTAAACTTTCACCAAATACACCCGTAGTTAATACACTGTACGAACCAAACTATTCTTAGTCCCTTTTTGTTTTCATTTAATTTGTTCTTTCATATTTTTTTTAATCCCTCTGTGGCTCAACGGTAAGAAGGAGGACATTTAAAACTAAAGATTGGGTTTGATAATTCAGGATAGATAAGTATAGCACAAAAACCCCAGTGTATAGTTTTGTGCTTAAAAACAAACCAAAACAATTGTCAACAGCTTAGTTGTCTGTTACATAAACTTATTTATGAGATGTCAGGAAACTTTCACATACAGTTAAGTAGTCTCAAAATTAAAATAGTAGATTCAACATGCCATACTTAACATCTGTGTCAGTTATTATTTGGTTGGATCAAGAAGTTAGTGAAGCAGACAAATGGCTCATCACCAAGATTTGATACACAAAAAACTTGTGGTTGAACACAATATTAAAAAGAACGGATGGGCAAAAATATATAATCAGTATCTTACTTAAAAATCGGATGTTTTATTTCATCAAACAAAAGTATATTGTTCTTGACGGAGAATTGCCATTTTCCATGACTTTCCAGGCCTTGAAAATGTTTATTCAGTTTCCATATTTTCAAGGACCAATGAGAAACCTGATCATTTGACGTCAGATAAAAGTATTTTCCTTTGGTCTTATTATAATCTCCATATTTTAGATTCACTATTTTCATTAGTACAGAATTTATTTTAATGGAATATTCCAAACCAATGGAAGTGATTTTTTAAGCACTTTTCCAGGTTCGTACCTCAAATTCAAAAATATATTTCTTCTATCCTACATCCCCGATAAACAATTTTATCATCATCATTTCAAATTCATCAACCTTTCATTTTTGGCAAGCAGGACTTAAACACACACATTTACACATTCTTTAGACAGGTAGTTTTGACAGGAAGAACTTGCAGCTGCAAACGATATAGTCGGATAAATTTTAAACTGACTTAAAACTACTTTACCTTAGTAAGATCTGGAATATCACCTTTGTCCACTCCAACATTCTGTAATGATATAAAAACAAATTTTATGTTTATAAAATAGCATCTGCACAAAGTCCAGAAGAAAACTTTGTAATTAACATATTAAAAAAAAGATAGTGATTAAGTACAAATGGCTAATACACATGCATGATTAACATATAATAAAACTAAGTTTTGAGATACTCACACTGAATTTATCAGAAGGTTGCAGAACTTTAGTTTATTATTACAATAAAAAAAAATGTAAACAAAACTTTACACCTCAAAAGATATTTGATTTTATAAGAAGACCATTGACACTTTTCAAATCTGTGCCTAGAGTCCTTGAATTAACATTTTTATTTCTTACTCATATATAGGTGCAAAATTAACTCTTTTTTGTTTTTTGCTAAACATATCCCATACATTTTCTGTGTTTATTTTACTGTCAATGTGTGAAGTAGAAACCTGCTGAAAATAAGCAATAAATCACCGATGTTGTTATAAGACTGTTTACGTACAAACATAATACGAAACTCTCGAGAGCAACAACACACACGCTAATCAGTGAAGTAGCGTGCCCCCTGCTCCAAGAACACAATATGGGATACAGCAGCTTATTCCTACAAAACTTACAACAGGAAATTCCTAGGGTTATAAAATTGCAATTAGAATGTGTAAAAACATTTATTATATGATTCAGAATTGGGCTGATCCAATAAACGTTGCACATTCTGAGCCGGGCTGATCCAATTACATCGCACGTGTTTCAGTACCACTGGTCACCCATTTGATGTGTGTGGAATTTGAGCATAAGTGTATGAATGTGTTAATTGGGCACATTCTTATAAAATCTACTACCCTCTCTCACCACACTAATTTGCCAACAAATAGAAACTGAGTACCATCTACTACACTGTTTTAGTTTTGGTTTTAAAAGTCTTCTCTTTCAAGCATCTTGCCTTCTTCCAACTGGTAATTGGAGTTTGTAAAACACCTTTGGTAGTTACATCAATGTAAGTAATAATAATTTTTAGTACATATAGAGAATATCTGATAGAATCCAGTGTAGTTGTTTCTGTATATTAGCACATCATGTACTCCTTCTGAAATGTACGATATACATCACAGAATACATTGTAATGTACGTTTTTTTTCTTTTCTTTCCCAGTAAACAGCTTGGTTCAGGTTTAATTTCCCTATTCTTGGGTAGTTACTTCAAAGAAAGTCACCATAATTTTTAGTACATATTGAGAATATCTGTTCAATAAGTTTAATATATATTTGTTGATCAAAACAGAGAATACATGTAATATACATTTAATGTGTTTTTTTTTCTAGAAATGGAATCTGACATATTGAAAAGTAAAGCAAGAGAGCTGTGGGAAAAAAAAACTCAGTGAAGAACAGATGCAGTTTCTTCTAAATGTCTCCTTGTCTGATGAAGATGTCATTCTGTCAGAGAAATCTGATGTTGATGCAGTTTCTTCTAAATGTCTCCTTGTCTGATGAAGATGTCATTCTGTCAGAGAAGTCTGATGTTGATGAAGTTTCTGCTAATGTATCAGTGCCTCTGACAGAATCTCTCTATACAACCAGATGGCAACCAAATTTAGAGCCAGCTCTTCTTTATTCTGCCTTACAGACAGATCAGTAAGTAGCTGGTGAAGGATCTTCATCAGATGAGGATGTTGTGGAATCACCCAGGCCAGGTATATCAAAGGGCAACCTACACCACCACCACAGAGAGGAGGTAGGACAAAGAGCTACAGTATCTACTAGGACTGGTCCTTCCTTTAATATCTGCCTTACAGACAGATCAGTAAGTTGTTAGTGAAGGATCTTCATCAGATAAGGATGTTGTGGAATCACCCAGGCCAGGTACATCATGGCAACCTACACCACCACCACCACAGAGAGGAGGTAGGACAAAGAGGGGAAGGGGTAGAGCTACAGTACCTACTAGGACTGGTCCTTCCTTGCAGGAGAGGCCTCTCACCTGCAGTGACACTTGGACCTGGGTGCAAGTCACCAAAGAAGAATGTACTCATGTACTTCCGTTCAATAGAGGTGAACCTGTGTCCCAATGGGTAACCTCTACTAATACAGCTGTTGATTCGTTTAAACTTTTGTTTACGTTTGAAACTTTAAATTTTATTGTTACTGAAACAAATCAATATGCACGATCTAAACAGCCACAGAAGAAAACCATAAAATGGACAGATGTTAGTTCCATGAAGATATTTGAGCATATATCGGAGTAACAATAGCCATGGGACTCAAGCCCTGTCCTTCTTTTTCTGACTATTGGCCTACTTATCTACCTTTCCATAATCCTTGGTCTACTAACTTCTCTAGAGACAAGTTTTTAGCTATCCATACTAACTTACACTTCAATAACAACACTAATGCTCTTCTTAGAACTGACCCTAATTATGACAAACCTTTTTAAGGTTAGACCTGTCATAGACCGTCTACTAAAATATTTTGCTTTACACTACTCTCCTAACAAGGAACTAACCATAGACGAGCAGATATTGGGCACAAAATGTCAAATTGGTTTTCTCCAATACTTGCCAAAAAAAACCTGTCAAGTGGGGTATCAAGTTTTGGGTCGTGGCAGAAGCTAGGAGTGGATACTGTCTAAAGTGTAAAATCTACACAGTCAAAGAGGGACAAATGCCAGCTACAGGTTTAGCAGACAGTGTTGTGATGGAACTGATGGACAAGTACAACAGATTTTGGTAAAATTATTATTTTCTCCTTCAAGCTATTTACAAACAACTGTCAGAGTTACATAGAGGTGAAAACGTTCTTTCTATTGGTTATAAACAGGAACTAATTAGTAATAAGCGGGACTAGGCAAGAGCTTTCAAAAGATTGGTGCAGTAGGAGGAGCCACTCTAGTAGACTCACTAAAAATATAGTTATCTCAGCAAATCGTGGAGGAAGGAGGTTCTTATTTTATATTTAGCTTTTCTATATCTCAAATTCGAGTTTCTAATTTGTTAGCTACTTGGAAATGTTGTATGGAGGGCATAATAAAATGGAAACTGAACAACAAGACAACTGGATGTGTGATGTGACACACAAAAATCGATATTTAACATTTTTTTCTTTATATTTCCTTTTAAATTAAGAAATTAAAACAAATATAATACTAAAACTTAAATTATAAAATATGCGTTGATGCCAATTTCATTGATGTATGTAGTAAAAATGTTATTTAATAAAATTTTGAAAATAACACTCCAAAACGTCGTGACACGTGCACTTTAACCTACCAGGGTGAAAGGGTTAATGAGCACTAGCAAAACACAGGATTTTTTCAATGGTGGAAAGTGAAGGACTTAGAGAAATTTTTAAGGGCAAAAAAACAAAGGCATCTGAATTAATTTTAAAACTACCCGTGACATATTCAATACTGCATTCATTACTATTGTCCAGGTTTCAGTAAAATATTCCTAGCCACATTTTTTGTAGCGGCTTATAAAACTATAATCAATAATAATGCAGCTGGAGACACCGTTATAAATATACATATTGTTTACTGTAATAAAATGAAGCTTTTCCAACTGGTAGAAAATGGAGCATTTCCGAGTAGTATAACAGAACTTCAATGGCTTCAAAGAACTTAGAAAATTTTAGAGAGTGGAAATCTCGACTTTCAAGAATCAATTTAGAAACAGCTCTACAACTTTTGCAGGAGTTTGTTTAGTAGCTGTGCATAGATTTTGGCATAGTATATCTAGCTCTTTTTGATATAGGCTTCGGTGCTTGAATGGCTTCAAAGAGAAACTTGGCAAGCACCAATGAGAAAACTGATAAAATCTCTCTCAAGAATCAACATAAAAATAGTTCTATGATCCGAGCAGGTGTTTGTTTAGTAGGTCTGCCCAGGTTTGGATAAAATATTCATAGCCATTTTTTCTGTAGGTTTATGAAACAAGAATAATAATAATAATAACATGAAGAAAAAAATGGATGAATTTTGAATTTTTCTAACAATCAGAAAATGAACTTTTTTGCTATTATCAATATTTTAGTACCTTTATCCATGGAGATAGGTCTTGAGTGTTGATTAAGAACAAGTCTGCTTTTTTAAGAAGGTCTTTGCCCATTTGGTGTATTATAAGTTTCATGAAATTCCTGGGCGAATCCTATTATGAACCATTATCATTGTTCGTGATATGAATGTAGAAATTTCAGTTGGCAATTAACGTGCATAAACTGTTGACTATTCATTGTAGTTCAAAAGATGCAAGCACCATTCCAATTTGCAAACCACCACAATACTTTAATAACTAGTTACCATTGACTGCAGTATGCTATTTAATAAGGCATTAGCTTATAAAATACATGAGCTTCCTGTACATACTTAGCATAGATTTGAAACTTGGTTAGATACTGTTTTGTTTGGACGTTTAGGGTGGACAATAATTTGTTTAGAACTTGGTAAAAATTAGCTAAATATTCTACAAGTTAACAGCCAATATAAGCAAAATAAACCCTGCAAGTACAACGGTTTCAAGTCAGAAATAAATTAGTAGTATGAAAATACAAAACGGAAAATCTTGTTCTTTTCTGCCAGTATAAAGAGGAGTTTACTCTGAATGTAAATTAATAGCTGTTTTATAGTATGAAGTGATCACTGAGATATAGTGTGGGCTAATCTGACACACACACACACACACACACACATATATATAAGATCCAGTGTCTGTGTCATGTAACCCCTCCTAAACTGTTGGTCGCACAACTTATAAATGGTACCAAACAATTGTCTCAGTTCTGAGTTTTGCACAAATGTAAAACTTTTTCACCCTATCCTTTGGGGAACCAAGGCATTTCCTGAAAACCCTTCTCCCAAACTGCTGGACTCACCAACTTCTAATTGGTGCCAAACGAATCATCTCAACCTCAAGGTTTGCTTGAACATAAAAATTTTCACCCAATCCCTTAGAGAACCCAGGTATTTCACAAAAACACTTTTAGAGGGATTCTCCAAAAGTGGACCTCAAATTTGGCATTGATCTACATTAGAGTACATAAATAAGTAGGCCTACTAATTACCATTCATAACTTGGTCAAAGAAATTAAACTTGCATTCTGGTAGCAATGATTAGGCCTACTAATTACCATTCATAACTTAATCAAAGAAATTAAACTTGCATTCTGGTAGCAATGATTATTAAAGTGCAAAAAGTAGTTCAAACATTAATTTTGTCTTATAGTAGGCCTATAAATGTGGGCCATAGGCTCATGGGTTAGCTAGTCCTTTTAAATTTCTACTGATATGATTTTTAGGAGAATCTGGCAATGTGCACATGTTAATTTCCCGATCTGATATACCTTCATAGAAAAACTGGTCATGCTCTTACTGAATATAATCCTCATTAATATTATTAAAACACAATTATCCAGAAAAAAACAATAAAATTTTCTAACTAAATAGCCTACTAATATTTATTATACACAACAAATAAAACTTACTTCGGCCACCTTAAGAAATTCTGCTACTCGATCCATTCGAATAAGGAACTTTTTGTATACGTCCAGTGCATCTCGACAATGTTTTTTGTTCATGTCAAAAAATTTTTCTGTAAGGTATATTTACATGTTTTCAGTGATATAAAATACTGATTTTAGTATAACATACTTTCACAAACAAGAAGACACTAAAGCATTATTAAGACTTTTATGTGACTGCTAAAAATTTCATTTCATGTGGATCCATAGGAAAACAAATAGCTTTGTAACAACTTAAGATATTTAAACATAATTCTTGAAGTTCAATATCAACCTTACTAAAATTAAAGTTTATAGTAATGACACTGTATTTTAATGAATTATAATAACTTGACCATTTGCAGATAACTTGCTAACAAACAGATTATTCAAATACAAACTAAGTTTTAAGGTTCGGATTTTATTACAAACCTTCAAATTTACATTGAGTGAAGTTATATTGGAATTTGTTAAGCAATAATATACATTATTTATGTTAGAACACTCAAATAAAACATGTTCAATGATCCGTTTGTTCTATAGATATACACACCTAAGAGATTAATAATTCCATCATTGTAACAGGCAAAAAGTCTTATTAGATCTCGAAATAGAAGCATGAAACAAGAGTTCACCACTCCATTGGTCAGATCACTAGAGTTACACTGGAAAGGAAATATATACATATATATATAAAATAGAAAAACTATCAACAGCAATTTAACTCTCTCAACACGGGGTCGGTCAATTTCACCGAGTCACTTGACCTTTTGCACTCGGTAAAAGTATTTATAGATTTAATACCTATAACTCTCTATATATTGGGTATATCTTTCCAAAATTTGGCAGTCTTTCAGTTGATATTACAAGTCTTTCACACACAAAAAGTCATATTTCTTAGTGAAGTATTTTCAATAAAATAAAATAAAGATTTGTCCATGAATATATTGAGGATTTGTTTTGAATAGTCATGTGGAAAGTAATTTTCATCTTAAAATTAAAAATACTTTTTTCATCTTAAAAATCTCAAATTTCCTTTGTGTAATCCTTAAAACCTCCTAAATGCATTTCAAACGTTTTTTTTTATAGTTTATGTTATTTTCTCTACCCTATCTCAAAATGGGATCGGTCAATTTGACCAACCTCGTAATCACCAAAACAAAATTCGAAATAAACCTAAATTAACCTTTTTTTTCTTCCTAGAATGACTTCAAATTGTAACATGAAACTACATTCGTTTATCCTAAGAAGCTCTAAGTTCGTAACATTATACACCTATTTATAATTAAACTTTATTGTTTTATTGCCCTTTCAAACGTGTCTAACTATCATCCGTGCCATTATAAGTTGTAAATCACTCGGGGAACGTGTATCTCACGTTACGCTATCAAATTACATTACCCACAAGCTGCTTTCGCGTGTGCCTCATGAACCATTTTAATTATATTATTATTATTTATTTTACCTAATCTAGTCTTAAATAACTTAAAAAGATCCATACTTTTAATTTTAGTTACTTTTATAATAATAATTGAAGAATAAATATGAAAAACAAGAAATACAGTACTTACCCAATCTTCTTTTTTCTTGCCCTCGATTGTGTTGGGGAGTTAAACCTGATTTTTTATAGTATTTATTGTAAAGCACTTAACAATATTTATTTAATTAAATAATGCACCAAAGAATATAGTCTAATAACATGCCAAAAAATAGACAAATTCACTTACCACTCAAAATTTTCCTGGCTTTCTAACTATGCAACAAGAGCCATTACAAATTCATCCAAGCTAGTTGTTAACTTTCCCATGGAAACGATGTTGCTACTCTGAGCTAAATTGAAAATTATCTGCTCAAAACACAACGTTATACAATACATCATTTGCTAGATGAAAACCTTGACTTTCTATTGGTTATAGGTAATATATAATGAAACATAAGAGAGAACTATCAACGAATTGTGAAAGAGAAGATGTGACAGGTGGGTGTGCAGGAGGGGTCTGATTTTCTATTTGATAGCTCTATAACAAAACAAAATTGAAAGCTATAAAAATTATGGCTTGTTTGAGCAATAACAATTTTATAGAGAATATTTAACATTTAATTTTGTACATTTTCGAGGCGTGATGACATGCTAAAACAAAATGTGTCACATGGGTCACACTAGTGGAAATTCAGGATGTTTTTTTATATATTTCCTTTTAAAATTAAGAACTTAAAACTTGTAAACTATTAAAATATGGATTATTAGCTAAGATTTTTATGCTATTCTAACTGGTATAACATAAACAAAAAGTAGTTTAATAAAAATTTTGAATGTAAGACACTAAAACCACGTGTCATGCACAGTAAAGGATACCCGGGGAGAGAGGGTTAACACCATATATTCAAACCATTAAAACTTCTGTAACATTAAAAAAAAAACACACAAGATGTTATCAAACATCTTTATCTTTTCCATTACATTCTGTTAATAAGGTGGACTTCTTCATACATTATTTAAATGTACAACATTAATGCAATCTACAAATGTTTATTTGTATTACATTAACTTTAGGAAACTAGTCTGGTAAAACAGCTTTCAAACATCAAAACCTAAACAATATCCAAATAAAATATTACCCATTAGCTTTTTAAAATAACTGATAGCCATTTCCAATGGATTTAAATACTTTACTCATTCAGTTACACCACTATTCCCTATTGAAAGTGTTCGGGTTATAGGGTTTTACTAAGTGGTAAATTAAGTAATTATAAGAATAATCTACAGCCCTCAGTTTCTACTGATAAAATACACATCGTACATACTAACAGCTTTTAGACTGCATTTCGGATCATTTTCATTCAACTGTAAACACATCAATATTTGCTTTGAGTTTGTAAGCCCCGTTATGAATTATTTGGATAACTTTATATTTTTCAATCTTTGAACAAAATGCTAAATTTATCAACTTTTTTTTTCCTTCATATATGTAAGTTTTCGGGAATTTCTAGTTTTACCAATAGAACAGTATCAATTGATAATTTTCAACAATGTTTCCTCCTTACTAACACTATTGGCCAAATTACCAAATCATACCCAAATACTTTTATTGGGTTTTTATTACTAAGTACTTTTCATGTCTAGATCTCACCTAGGACAGAAAGAAGAGACAGATATATTATGTTAAAAATAACAATGACCAAAATTTATAATCATGTATGCAAAATAATTGTTCTTAAAACTCAATCAGAAGAACCTGTAATACTCACATCAAATTCTAAAAGAGAGTCAAGATGATTCTGAAGTATTGGTAGTGTTTTCAACAGCTAAGATAAAACAAAAATATCACTTCACAGTCAATAAACAAGGGAAATGCATTTACAAAAAACAGTTTATTTTTTCATCACAGATCTGTTTAGATAATATATACTACTCTGGTTTTTGGCACACATATTTATCGTACATATGTCATAGTAGAAGACGAGTGAAAATAATAATAATTCCACAATTTTTTCAGCACTTAGAAAACTTTAGTAAAAACAAACAGGTATTAGAAAAACATTCATCTAATTTGATAATTCAGAAGTCATTCAACATTCACAACAAACTAGAGAAAATGGGTATCATGAATAACGTAGGGGAATATAATCTTACAACTGTGTATGATTTCACAAGGTGTAGAAAGAATAAGTTTAAAATCACCTTTTTTTTTAAATAAATAAAACTGAACTCACTCTTTCTGAATTCATAGTTCTGAGCATACCATCTTCTTTCCTGTTTCAAAAACAGAGAAATAATAATTATCAAATAATTCACATCAAAGATGCAAGCAATACTGAAACATTAAACAAATAAATACAAGTTTTCCACCAAATGCATTTTTTTAGGACTGAAAAAAAAGCTAAATAATTTATCAATATTTTAGTGTATTGTGAAAATTACGTTTTTCCCAACTATGTAAGTAAATAAAAGTTATAAAAATGTGACAGGTACTATAAAAGAAAGGACTGCTGAATAGCTCATGCAACATAACGAAAGTATTTATGTTTCATACTATACAACCACATTTCTCAAGTAACATGTTTGTTCTACATTAAACTAAGATGTTAAGAAATTTATGTACAATATGCAGATGCAATGCTACTTCTTTCTAAGTTAACTCATGTAGTTAACGTGCTATTCATAGGATGGCTACTTTTGCTCTTTGACAAACAATAAACCTTGGAAGTGAAACACATTAAGAAAATATTATCATTACTGTTTTAGTTATAGAAATGTAGTGATATTACAAAACAAACAACTTGGTAAGAGACTTACAAAGTTAATGAGTATTTGTAAAGAAACTCAGAGAAGCAGCAGTAGCACCAAGACCGTTACCAGTTAATTTCTTGATGCCAGTTAAGCTACAGAAATGAATTGAAATAAACCCCTTTTCTTATATCAAAAATAAATTTTCCTGTCTCAACATCAAAGCGAGCTGTCTAATACAACTTACAAAATAAAATAGACAACAAAAAACAAGGGTAAACAGTACAGTATCATAGCAGCTGGAATAAGGATTACTTTGTTATATACTGATATTTGAATTTTACATTATATTGTTAAAAGTAGTTTTGAAACTCACAGTAGATTATCACTTGAACAATTATCTTTATAATCTTTACAATATAGTGAAATAAATAGCTTTGATACTATTAATTACATTAATTGTTAATAGGCGGTTAAAATCAACACTATAAAACAATAATGAAGCATCAAAGAAATTTTAGGAGAATTCCCATTGTCAGTCCTAGTTGTTACCTTAAAGTCATAGCAGATAATGGCTGTGGTAATAGCTCCCAAATACTGACATTAAACTAGCCAGCAAACATGGAAAATCAATTAACTCTTTCAGCACAGGCTCGAACCCTGGGATCAACCTCTTAACCATTTTGTACTTGTTACAGTTTTCACGCTATAACTTTTAAATTAGTAAGCAAATGTTAACGAAATTTGGCAGATTATCAGTGAACATTACAATGGTTTTAATATGCAAAATATCAGATATTTTTATCAATTCTTAAGGTTTGTAAAGCAATGTTTTTCTCGTGTCTTTTTTTTTCTTTTCAAACCTTGCCTATCTATCATGCAAAGTAATATTCATTTTAAGATTAAAAACACTTTTATGCATCAGAAAATTTTGAAATTTCACACGTGATATCTTTATAATGTCCAGATAGTTATCAAACATTTCTTAAGAAAAAACTTTATATTTTATCTGTTATTTTCAGTAATTAAACTCTGTACAGGTTCGGTAGATTTGACCAATCTTGCAAGCACCATGAAAATTAGGAAATAAATATAAATTATGCCTCTTTGACTCTAGAATGAACACAAATTATAAAAGGAAAACAAAAAATTTTAGACTAAATAGCTGAAATCTCATAACATTATACATCTATTATTTTTATTATATAACCTTTCAGTCATTGCTTGCTAATAATACTGAAGTTACAATTACACAGCTCACGTGCACTCATGTCACCATATCCAATAATATAAAACTGACCTTTGGTCTGTAGAAAGTAACTCGAGTTTTAGTACAGTAGTATTTTGTAAAATACAGTCACATTTCAATTATTATACATTATATATGTATAGAGATTATTGTTATTTTGAAATAAGTTCTTAAACTTATTTTCTTTAAATCTAGAATTGTAACTAAGGAAGTAAAGCAAACAATTATCTCTTCTGGTTACGACCTTTGTACTCGGATGCTGCTGGATGTAGGTTGCTAAACCTTGAAAAAATTTGCACATGGAGGATATGAAACAAAATATTTTTTTAGGTTTTATATTTACATTTGAATAACTAAAAAATCATAAATTATTATATCAATATCATAGAATTCCACTATAATTTATCAAATTTAGTAACTAAGCTGTATTTGGGTCTGAAAAAAATATGAAATTTGAACAGACTAAAAACACAGCCTACCTCATTCAAATCTTCGTTTAAAAGAATGATATGGTGCTAGGTACATTAAAATGGCTGAAAAAAACAACTAGGACACTCTGAGCTTCCGATTAGCTATTCATTTCATGTATAGAAGTAAGTGTATATAAAGGAGCATTTCCAAAAATGGAACGAGGTGGGCAGTTGATTTATTACATGAGCATTATCTTAGCAAATTGAAAATAGGCTCTTATTTTATATTCTAGCTTGTCAGTATCGGTAATTTTAGTTTGTAATTTGTACGAAACTATAGACTTAG